AGGCACAGGGGCAGCTTACAAGCCACAGGGGGGACTTTGCGAGCTGCACTGGGGGGAGGGGGGAGAGAAGAGCCGCATGCGGCTCGCAAGCCTCAGATTGGCCATGGCTGATTTAACTTCTTGCTTACTGTGCCTAGTTAGGTAAAATTTCCTTTCTTCTCTGCAGCATGGCAGTGGAATTTCCTCTGGTTCTGTATGACTGCGAGTTTGATAACATCCAATGGCTCTATGACCGAGAAGTTCAGGAGTTCAATGTTACTCACCTGCAGCAACTCTGGGCTAATCATGCAGTCAAAACTCACATATTATATAACATGCTACAGGGGCTAGAGTCTGCTGCCATATCCACAGGGACAGGTAGGAAAATTGTTCTGAGATTTGTTCTAACAAATTAAAGTCATGTAGAACTGAATCTGCTTTCTTTGAAAGATTCTCACATCTAACTTGTGTATGTTACAGGCCCAGAGAAGAACAGAATGGTGCCCTGGAGAGAGATGAAGCCCCCAGTCTGTAACCAGGTCAGCAGTTTCATTGAGGGGGTGAAAGCCCGCACTTATAAACCTTTGTTGGCTCGTCCCAAGTGTGAAGGTTTGGAGTCCCGGATCAATCATTTTGTGCGCAGGGGACGTATTGAGCTGCCTCACTGCAGAGAGAAAGAAACTGGAACAGACAAAGAGGAGCACATAGAAACTAAGAGGGGCCACAGTGACTCTGCAGAAAAAGATAGTGTGGCTCCAGGACAAGCTGCCAAGCGAGTCTGTGTGGACACAAGGGCTGAGAGCTCCAATTGAGACATTGCTAGCTGGGGGGCAGAAGCAGGACCATCTTTCAGAGATGGGGTAAATGTGGTCCCCTAGGATTTTAAGAAAAGAAACATTGATGGTGGAGGGGATGGGGTACAGAGGAGAAGACTCCTATTAAAGGTGCAGAATTGTACCTTTATTCTTTTAGTTTCTGGGAGGCTGTAGAGAAGACTATTCTGACAGTGCAGAGGTTCTTACACAGGTCCATGGAACATATGCTGGGAATAAGGTACTTGTTTTGCCTCTTTTTAACCAGCTGCTAAAACGAATTAAAAGTAGCTAATCTTACTATAACATGCAAGCAATTGCTGTATTTGCCACATATCATGTGACTGAATGGGAGAGAGAGTGAGAAGCAGTGGTCATATTAGCGTGATCCAGATTGGAAAGTGAAAACCCCTACTCAGAGGGGGTAAGCTGCTAGCTTATTTCTAGACTACACTGTTCATTAGTGTAGAGCACTGGTGTGAGAACCACTGTTATTTCCTCATCCCTCAATTTTCTTCAGCCCTTTTGTGCTGCGCTTTTTCTCCTTTTTGCACATTGAAGGAGTAGCTGAGAGAATCAGCTACTCCTTCAATCACCTTGGTCAGGGACCATTTCCAGCCAGGTTTCTGGGTAAAGTGCTGCCTGTCCTGTGTACCACCTAGATGCATTTGATGGGTAGTGCCCACAAGTGGGAAATATGGTGGGTATAAGGATGCATAAGTGCTTTGGAGGAACCCATGGATTTTGTAGATTCCCTCTCCATTTTTGCAGACTGTATTTATTTGAGGAAGGAAATATAATTAGTACCAAAGGTCAGTGAAAGTATAAATGCTTTAGGTAACAGTGCTGATAATGGAGTCTTCATGCTGACATTTTCAAGGTGCCTAGAGGTAATTAGGGAGCAAGAAAGCTTGAAGGGAAGTTAAATAAAATAATCATGTTTGAAATCAGCTCTCTGGAAACATAGGATATGATTTCAGTTGAAACACTTGTCCCAATCAAAGACTTTGGTGGGTGGACAGCAGAGAAGGCTGGAGACACTATTTTTGAAAGGAAGAGTCTATACTGCGAGAGAAGAATTAAAAGATGATGATACAATGCTGCAGCCTGACATGCCCCATGTCTTAATTCTGAATCAGATTAAACAGTTTTCAGTTTTAAACAAAAAGTTGACTAATTTGTCATATTTTACTGGTTTTCTACATGCTTTCCCTCCCACCCCGCCCCTTGGCTTGCTCTGAAGCAAACATGAACATTTAACATTATACTTACATAACTCACAAAGTTACACTAGAAGGCCGTCTCTACGCTGGCCACTTATTCCGGAAAATCAGCCGCTTTTCTGGAATAACTTGCCAGCTGTCTACACTGGCCCCTTGAATTTCCAGAAAAGTACTGACAATCTACTGTAAAATCATCAGTGCTTTTCCGGAAAAACTATGCTGCTCCCGTTCAGGCAAAAGTCCTTTTCCGGAAAAGGGCCAGTGTAGACAGCACAGATTTCTTTTCCGCAAAAAAGCCCCGATCGCGAAAATGACGATCGGGGCTTTTTTGCGGAAAAGTGCATCTACATTGGCACGGATTCTTTTCCGGAAAAAGCGCATCTACATTAGCAGGATGCTTTTCCAGAAAAGCACTTTTTCCGGAAATACTTATCTGCAAAAAAGCCCCGATCGCAAAAATGATGATCGGGGCTTTTTTGCAGAAAAGTGCATTTACATTGGCACGGATTCTTTTCCTGCAAAAGTGCTTTTCTGGAAAAGCATCCTGCTAATGTAGATGCGCTTTTTCCGGAAATACTTATAACGGAAAACTGTTCCGTTTTAAGCATTTCCGGAGAAGGGTGCTAGTGTAGACGTAGCCGAAATGTATGAACTCTAGAGGAAGTTCTGCCCACACTACCAAAGGAGCACTAATAACTAGTGATACGTACAGCCCTCAGTATGGGGAAGGTACCTCGTGCAGGCCTTCAACTCAGTCATCTTGAAACAAACTTAGGCACCAATCGTGTACGCAGTTTTGCATCTGCTTTGCTTTTTTACACACAACCATTGCAATTGGTAGGACTATGTGGGGGTGGGGAACCTAAGGGCTGAGGGCCACAGGGGAGCTTGAAACAAATTTAGGCACCAATCGTGTAAGCAGTTTTGCTTTTTTACACACAACCATTGCAATTGGTAGGACTATGTGGGGGTGGGGAACCTAAGGGCTGAGGGCCACAGGGGAGCCCAGGCTTGCTTGGATCTAGCCACCAAGGCTTAGAGCTCTTTCCTTCCCCAGCAAGGGGAGCACC